GTCCAGCGGAGTCCAGGCACGGTACTTTAGAAGCCAGGCTGAAGACATTGTCAGAGAGCTCCAGTTTAAGAGATGAAGTCTTGATTTAAGAATAAAATCAAAGAAGAAAAAGGTGCAAGCAAAAAAAAACAAGTTAGCCTTTTATACATTAGAGCTGCAGAAACAACACCCATCCTCATAAGAAACTAGCAAAATATGGAGGTATGCTGATAGTGAGAGGATTGTCCTAGACTGCCTACAACTTTGTCTGCCAATGACTGGCCTACAACTTTGTCTGCCAATGACTGGCCTACAACTTTGTCTGCCAATGACTGGCCTACAATTCTCTTGTTTGCCAATGACTGGCCTACAATTCTCTTGTTTGCCTCATGTAGGCAGCAGTATAACCAGAAGGATAAAGACTTCCTGTGTCCTTCAATAGATAAGAAACAGTTTCCACTTTGATGTAGGGTACAGTGCTCCAATGATCCACATTCGAAAACGAAAGATATAAAAATATCGCTAAAGCACACTTTATTTAAAATCGACAAAACAGGGATTGTCTGGGTATCTTGCGCTGCTGTGTTGACTGGCAGGGAGAACACAAAGCGTTTGGCAAGGACAAGAAGCTTTAGAAGAAAGCCTTGAAGAAGATCTGACAGAGGCTGAATAATCTACCATGGAGGCAGATGGTTGTGTATACAAAACTTCAGCTGTACTGCAGGAAAATTCTATTTATGTACTCTATGATTCAGCTCAGAAGCGGTATAAAAAATTATTAGGAGAACTGTCACCACTTCTGGAGGAACAGGACACAGCGCAGAATGAATCGAATGATAGGATTCTGCTGAGCCTGGCATGCGCAACGCTTTGAAATTAAAAGCATCCTTCCAAGGAATGGCACTTGTAGCAGGAGTAGTCCAAATCTTGCTACAGACTGTACTTGATGCTGCAGAAGATGAAATCCTGCTACATACTTGATGGAGAAGATGAAATCTGCTACATACTTGAAGATGAAATCCTGCTACATACTTGATGCTGGAGAAGATGAAATCCTGCTACATACTTGATGCTGGAGAAGATGAAATCCCGCTACATACTTGATGCTGGAGAAGATATGAAATCTTGCTACAAGATACTTGATGCTGGAGAAGATCCCGAAATCTTGCTACATACTTGATGCTGGAGAAGATGAAATCCCGCTACATACTTGATGCTGGAGAAGATGAAATCCTGCTACATACTTGAAGCTGGAGAAGATGAAATCTTGCTACATACTTGATGCTGGAGAAGATGAAATTTTGCTACATACTGTACTTGATGCTGGAGAAGATGAAATTTTGCTACATACTGTACTTGATGCTGGAGAAGATGAAATCTTGCTACATACTGTACTTGATGCTGGAGAAGATGAAATCTTGCTACATACTTGATGCTGGAGAAGATGAAATTTTGCTACATACTGTACTTGATGCTGGAGAAGATGAAATACTTGATGCTGGAGAATTCTGCTACATACTGCTACTTGATGCTGGAGAAGATGAAAATTTGCTACATACTTGATGCTGCAGGAGAAGAAATCCCCTGCTACATACTTGATGTTGGAGAAGATGAAATCTTGCTACATACTTGATGCTGGAGAAGATGAAATCTGCTACATACTTGATGCTGGAGAAGATGAAATCTTGCTACATACTTGATGCTGGAGAAGATTTGCTACATACTTGATGCTGCAGATGAAATCCCGCTACATACTTGATGCTGGAGAATATGAAATCTTGCTACATACTTGATGCTGGAGAAGATGAAATCCTGCTACATACTTGATGCTGGAGAAGAAATCCCGCTACATACTTGAAATCCTGCTACATACTTGATGCTGGAGAAGATGAAATCTGCTACATACTTGATGCTGGAGAAGATGAAATCCTGCTACATACTTGCTACATACTTGATGCTGGAGAAGATGAAATCCTGCTACATACTTGATGCTGGAGAAGATGAAATCCTGCTACATACTTGATGTCGGAGAAGATGAAATCCTGCTACATACTTGATGTCGGGAGAAGATGAAATCCTGCTACATACTTGATGCTGGAGAAGATGAAATCTTGCTACATACTTGATGCTGGAAGAAGAAATGAAATCTTGCTACATGCTATATGCTGCTTAAAGTGGACCTGTAAAGTCCTATAAAATTGCCAAGATATCAATATTAATTCAAAGAAATTTCTGTGCCTCTGTGGAGCTCCTGGGATCCAAGCCGTATGCTGGGCCTTGAGTTCTTTTAAATCCCTGGTGCCGTGTTTCCCGGCCCTTTAAAGGTTTGCAATGCCAGGATTTATGATCATGTGACCGCCATGTTACATGATCGGAAAGCTTCTGATCACAAGTAGTGATTGGGAGCATTCCGATAGGCACTGGTAACTGTGCTGGGAGCGCACAGGGCGCAGGCCCTCAGCACAGGTTTGTTTCAAGGCCCACCCACTGAGATGCCGCATATTTGCTTACTGCTGGCGCCAGGAGGTTAAAGGCGACTCAGTCAACCAAAGATCTGCTACTCTTTGTAAGCATTGGGGACAATAGTTTTGATATGATATGTAATTTCACTTTCTCAAATAATATCGGGCTTGGGTATTTTATACATAGGTACAATGGTCCAGCTTGGACGAAAGTAACTTTATACAGTATAAGGGCAGCACAGTGGCTACATGGTTAGCACTTCCGCCTGGCAGTACCAGGGTCGTTGGTTCAAATCTCAACCATGGCACCACCTGCCTGGTATTTGCATGTTCTCCCTGTGCATTTGTAGGCTTCCTTCAGGAACATCAGTTTCCTCCCACACTGCAAAAACATGATGGTAGGTTAATTGGCCCTAGTATGTGTATGTATGAATGTGAGTTAGGGATCTTAGATTGTACGCTCCTTGAGGGCCGGGACTGATGTGAATGTACATACTTGTAAAGTGCTGCATGAATTGAGAGCACTTTAAAAGTACTTTAAATAAATATCATACCTGAGCAATGCCCCTGGAAGCTGGAACTCACTGAAGTAGACACCAGTAAACCAGTGGTATTCACATGCTTCCGGGCCCCACACCGAGTGGCTGCACCTCTGCTTACTGAATATAGGATGTCAGCTGCTTGGGGGCGCTTCACTATTCAAAGAATGCTTTGCGCTTTCTAAATAAATGCAAAGCATTCTCTGATTGGATTAGGTGGACAGAAAGGGAACTGTTGTCATGATGTCCACCTCCTCAAAATAACAGAATGCTTTTCATTCATTCAGAAAATGCAAGGTATTCTTTCAATGGCACCCTTGTGGAGCGGCCAACCACAATAAAGTGGGGGGACAGTACATGAGACAATACAATACACGAGGGGTTCGAGGGCCCTGCTCTTTCGAGCTTACAATCTAGGAGGGAGGGGGTAAAGGTACAGGAGGAAGTGGCTGTGGGGGATGGAGTGGTAGGAGAAGTGGAGGAGATCGGCTGTTAGGTCAGGGTGGGGTAGGCTTCCCTGAAGAGATGGATTTTCAGGGAGTGCCTGAAGGCGAGGAGGGTAGGTGACAGTCTGATAGATTGGGGTAAGGAGTTCCAGAGGATGGGGGAAGTCCTGGAAAAGTCCTGCAGTCGGGCGTGGGAGGAGGAGACCAGGGAGCTAGAAAGTAGGTGGTCTTGTGAGGAGCGAAGGGTACAGGTAGGGTGATATTTGGGTATCAGGTCAGTGAGGTAGTTTGGGGCAGTGTTATGAATGGCTTTGTATGTCAGAGTTAGTAATTTGAATTTGATGCGTTGGGCAATCGGGAGCCAGTGAAGGGATAGGCAGAGGGGGGTGGCAGAAGTGGAGCGGTTGGTGAGGGGATGAGTCTAGCCGCTGAGTTCAGGATAGACTGAAGCGGGGAGAGCCTGCGTTGGGGTAGGCCGGTGAGAAGGGAGTTGCAGTAGTCTAGGCATTATGATTGTCCTCAAAAGGACTGTTGCATCTGTAAGACTAGATGTCCACAGCAACCCCCACATCAGATGTCAAGAGCCCTCACCTTCAGAAGTCAAGAGTCTCCCACCCTGCCTTATATCACAGCACACCCCCCTCACCTTGTGCTGCTGCTGCCTGGAAGAAGCTGGGGGGGGAGCAGGGAAGCAGAAAGTGCAGAGTCTGGAGGAGGACCAGAGGAGAGCTGGAGTCAGCTGCTGGAGTCTGCTGACTGCTGAGACCAGCGGAGGCGGAAATGAGGGGGTTATACGGCTACACAGAGAGGAGTTCTGTCATTATCTCTGCTGCCGACTGCTGAGATGAGGGGCAGAGATGAGCCTCTCCACAGCTTCATGGAGAAGCACATGATCTATCAGAGGAGTTCTGTTGTCCTCTCTGCTGCTGTCTACTGAGACAAGGTGGGGTGTAGACAAGGGGGGTTCAGCAGCTGCAAGAGAGGTGTGAGGGCCACATGAAATGGCCTGGCAGGCCACATTCGGTCCGCAGGCTTTGTGTTTGATGCTTGTTCTAGAACAATGTATTTAGCCCAGTCTTTCTCAACCAGGGTGCCCAGGCACCCCAGGGTGCCTTGAGGATTCTTCAGGGGTGCCTTGACAAAATGTCTAAAACTTGCATACAAGCCAGCGGGTGGAACAAGCCTGCCTTTTAGTTACACGAAGCCACAGGTTTTCGTTGTGCGCCATTACAACCTTCTAGCCGCCGGCATCCTGACAACCAATGACACCATCAGTTGATAAGGAGGATGTCAGCTGCCTGCACAGCATCCTAGTTTGACCCTCCCCCGCCCCTCTCCATCAGTGTTGGGGTCACATTAGCTCAGTGATGGAGAAAATCTGAGGGAGAAGAGAAACACTAGAATACTAGTCAGTACCAGTGTGCAAAAGTGTATTTGCTTTGGAAGAATAAATCACCTCTAATGTTGGGTGTACTACATGTGTGGATGTTGCTGCGTTATATAAAACTATTAGAATCGTTTTTCACATTTTAGAATGGGGCGCCTTTTTAAAATTAGGGACAGTCTCAAGGTACCCCATTTTAGAATGAGACGCCTCAAAACTGTCCATAATTTTAAAGGGTGCCTCGGGACTGTCCATAATTTTAAAGGGTGCCTCGGGACTGCCCAGAATTTTAAAGGGTGCCTCAAGACTGTCCAGAATTTTAAATGGTGCCTTGGGACTGTCCGTAATTTTAAAGGGCGCCTCAAGACTGTCCATAATGTTAAAGGTGCCTCGGAACTGTCCATAATTTAAAAGGGTGCCTCGGGACTGTCCATAATTTTAAAGGGTGCCTCGGGACTGTCCATAATTTTAAAGGGTGCCTCGGGACTGTCCATAATTTTAAAGGGTGCCTCGGGACTGTCCATAATTTTAAAGGGTGCCTCGGGACTGTCCAGAATTTTAAAGGGTGCCTCAAGACTGTCCAGAATTTTAAAGGGTGCCTCAAGACTGTTCAGAATTTTAAAGGGTGCCTTGGGACTGTCCAGAATTTTAAAGGGTGCCTCGGGAGTGTCCATAATTTTAAAGGGTGCCTCAAGACTGTCCATAATTTTAAAGGGTGCCTCAAGACTGTCCATAATGTTAAAGGTGCCTCGGAACTGTCCATAATTTAAAAGGGTGCCTCGGGACTGTCCATAATTTTATAGGGTGCCTTGGGACTACCCATAATTTTAAAGGGTGCCTTGACTGAAAAAAGGTTGAGAAACACTGATTTAGGCAATGGACACAGCCCTGCCACACCCTTAGTCATGCAGACCATTAAAAATGTATATGCTACAAATTGGTTATATGTTATACCCAGAATTGTTTGTTTCCACCATTGCTTTTCCCTTATATTGGCTTAACAAAATAGCAAACAAAATAATTAAGATACAGGATGAAGGTTTAGTACAGAATAACACTTTTAGTACTTTAATTGTGCATTTTTATAGATCTGTGTACATCAGACTAAAGAGAGGGACAACTGAGGAGGAAAGAAGGACAGGGGGTTTTTTTTTGCTTCAAAATGAGGAACGCTTGGGAGGTACGAGTATGGTACGTATGTGTTGTCACCCTAGGACAGGATGTGTGTTATTGGCAGGATCTAGAGTAGAAAAAGAGGGAAAGAGTCTGCAAAAAGAAAACTAGTGCAGCCACCGCATTTAAGGACTGGTAAGCTGCAACACATTATTTATTTGTTCTCAAGTTTAGATAAAGTAAAGCCATGTAAGGATCAAAAGTAAACTCAGTGACCCTAAAACAGAAAAGGTTGCGCATCCAAACAGCAACAGAAAAATAAATGGATGCTAAAATGAGCTATTAAAACATTTCCTTGATCCCTATGAACACAATCCGTTATCCAACTGAAATATTACCGGATGGAATGAACAACAGTCGCAGAGCCAAGGTCACCTGGCTCACACGAGCGGCGATGCCTGCCAAATGGAAACTTGCAACTTCACATCCCCATGCGGCACAACCCAGCTAAACTAGTTGGTGACAAGAAGACAAGCAGGTCCTCACGCTGGTTACAAAGAATTCCACCCGCCAGCTGTCCTACTACAAAGAATAGAAACTAGGTAAGTAGGCAATTATCCAGCGCCTGCCATAGTGCCCACAGTCATGCCAATTTTGGGTGCTAAAAGCTTTGTAAGAAGAAATACTTTATAGAGAGATTTTCCGGGACTTGTTCTTTGGATTCACAACCAGCAATTGTGCAAGCTTCCTCTGACTGATGGACGGGTGCCCTACAGCGACGCCTGGATGAAAACATGTGTAAGTAGTCTAGACTCCCTATATACATCTAACGTTTCAGTCTTGACTGCAGTGTACCTAACCTTAAGCCACTGACTGCATATACACCAACCAGCCACAACACCAGGACCACTGACCTAATATTGAGTAGGTCCCACCAAAATAGCTGAGGCATGGACTCCAAAGTAACATCCACATGAATTTCAGGACCCAGAGATTCCCGGCAGAAAAGTGTCCAAAGCATCACACGGCCTCTGCTGGTTTGCCTTCTTCCCATACTTCATCCCGGTGCCATCTCTTCCCCAGGTAAGTGACGCACATGCACCCGGCCATCCACACGATGGAAAAGAAAATGTAATCCATCAGACCACGCCACCTTCTTCCATTGCTCCGTGGTCCAGTTCTGTAGGGACTTTTGGCTGTGGGCACGGGTCAGCATGAACACCCTGACCGGTTTGTGGTTACACAGCCCCATACACAACAAACTGCAATGATCTGTGTCTTCTGACACCTATCAAAGCATTCATATTATCAGCAATTTGAACTGCAGTAGCTCTTCATTGAATCGGACTACACAGGCCACCCTTCTCTCTCCACCTCCATCAACGAGGATTGGCCACCCTTCTCTCCCCTCCTCCATCAACGAGGATTGGCCACCCTTCTCTCCCCTCCTCCATCAACGAGGATTGGCCACCCTTCTCTCCCCCACCTCCATCAATGAGGCTTGGCCACCCTTCTCTCCACACCTCCATCAACGAGGCTCGGCCATCCTTCTCTGCCTACCTCCATCAACAAGGCTCGGCCATCCTTCTCTCCCCACCTCCATCAACGAGGCTTGGCCACCCTTCTCTCCCCACCTCCATCGAGGCTTAGCCACCCTTCTCTCCACACCTCCATCAACGAGGCTTGGCTACCCACCCTTCTCTCCCCACCTCCATCAACGAGGCTTGGCCACCCTTCTCTCCCCACCTCCATCAACGAGACTTGGCCACCCATCTCTCCCCACCTCCATCAACGAGGCTTGGCCATCCTTTTCTGCCTACCTCCATCAACGAGGCTCGGCCATCCTTCTCTCCCCACCTCTATCAACGAGGCTTGGCCACCCTTCTCTCCCCACCTCCATCGAGGCTTAGCCACCCTTCTCTCCCCACCTCCATCAACGAGGCTTGGCCACCCCTTTCTCCCCCACCTCCATCAACGAGGCTTGGCCACCCCTCTCACCCCACCCTCCATCAACGAGACGTGGCCATGCTTCTCTCCCTACCTACATCAATGAGGCTTGGCCACCCCTCACTCCCCACCTCCATCAACGAGGCTTGACCACCCTTCTCTCCCCACCTCCATCAACATCACAAGGCTGGGCCACCCTTCTCTCCCCACCTCCATCAACGAGGCTTGGCCACCCATCACCCTGTTACCAGTTTTCCTTCCTTGGCACACTCACTGTCGGTCCTCCACTGCAAACCGACAGCCATGGGGCAGTATTCCTCTCACGAATATTAATGATGGGGCTCTATTCCTCCCACTGATATCAACAATGGGGCACCCTTTCTCCCACTGACACCAACAATGGGGTATCCTTTCCCCCACTGACACTAATGAGGGGGCACTATTCCTCCCACTTACACCAACAATGGTCACTATTTCTTCCACTTGCACCAGTGATGGAGTACTATTCCTTCCACTGACACCAACAATGGTCACTATTCCTTGCACTGAAACCAACAATGGGGCACTATTCATCACACTGACATCAACGATGGTACACTATTACTAAAGAAGTTGCATTGTTTACTTCCACTGGTTATAATCCGGTCCTCAAGGTCTGAAGGATGGTAAACTGGCCCTTTGTTAGAAAGCTTGTAGACCCCTGTTCTAAACAGACGCACCATGAAGAAGTGGTCAGTGGTGGGTAATATTTGGTCTTCGTGCCATTTTAGAGCAGCAGAAGTAGGAATTTATAGTTTTTATAGTGGTAAATCTGTGTTTCCTCTACCTCTCCTCCTTGCCTATTCCCCTTCATCAGTTATCAGATTCTCAGGGAAGCAGCTCTGATACGAGGAAGCAAAGCAATGATCCATTACTACAGAGAACACAATGTAGAACAAGACATGGCAAGCCCATGCCAGGGGAAAATAACCATCAGCAGGGAGCCTACAGCCAATACCAGTGACAAGCCCTTTACTGCCTGTTTTTGGGCACAGCTACCACAGTACAGGTCCTCTTTAAACAATCAGAATCTTATTGACATACACAGCACCTCCACTTTGCTTTGCAATAGTTTCCATAAAGAGGTCCCACTGCGGTTGTCAAAGCGATGAAGACAGAAAATAGAATCACATTGCGCATTCACACTACATTTCCGCTAATCTGCTCACTGCCTGGATCCTGAGCTGGTGGAAATCAGACTGCAGGCTCTGCTGGGACCAGGACTACTGATTAAACCATCACTATGTACTACCAAAGGGCATGTTCTCCGGTTATAAACACTATTTTTTTTAAATTGGGAAGTAAATAAGTTGCCAGGTGCTGGATCTCTTAAAGCAGCTGATGTCTTCAGTGAACACTTAAGCAGCATAGCGGGAGTGATTCTCCTTAGGAAGATTCTCCTGGAGTGGTGGATGAAGGTCGGGACTGGGTGTGCATGAAGGTAAGCTCCAAAAAGCAGAATATATAAAGTCCAGATTCAATTTTTTTTTTTTTTTTTGCAGACTCTTCAGCTTAACTGAAATCTCCCCCCCCCCCCCCCCCCCCCCCCCCCCAGCATCCCTCCATTTTAATGATCTACTATATGCTTTGAGTTCCGTGAAGACTGAGCTCTGCACTTTTGCAGCAGTTGTTTTCTTATTCCGGGTCACAATCGTGCGTAATGTGCTTTTGTCTCTTTCTGGGTTTGTAGGACCAGGACTTGAAATTTCCACTTGCCTGCTCGCATTTGGCGAGTGAAAATAACATGTAGGTGACTGTGTCCCAGGCGCCGCATCGGAGGGTGGGGGGCGGGTGCTCTCAGCAGCACCAACCTGCCCCGAGCACTGTGTTAAGGGGGGGCGCACTGCTGGTGCCGCTCCTCAGTGACCGAAGTGATCGCAGTTTCTGATGGGGCACCTGATGTAAACGGGGACTGTAAAGGGGGACTGATGGGGGCACCTGATGTAAAGGGGGACCCTGATGGGGGCACCTGATGTAAAGGGGGACCCTGATGGGGGCACCTGATGTAAAGGGGGACCACCTGATGGGGGGACTCTGATGGGGGCACCTGATGTAAAGGGGGACTCTGATGGGGGCACCTGATGTAAAGGGGGACTCTGATGGGGGCACCTGATGTAAAGGGGGACTCTGATGGGGGCACCTGATGTAAAGGGGGACAACTGATGGGGACACTTATTTTCATTTTATATGTACATTGTTTTATGTTAACCACTTGACCTCCAGAGGATTTACCCCCCTTAATGACCACGCCTCTTTTTGCTACTCGGCGCTGCACTAATTCAACTGATAATTGCGCGGTCGTGCAATGCTGCACCCAAACGAAATTTACGTCCTTTTTTTCACACAAATAGAGCTTTCTTTCGGTGGTATTTGATCACCTGTGCGCTTTTTATTTTTCACGCTATAAACAAAAAAAGGCCAAAAATTTTGAAGAAAAACAATATTTTTTTACTTTCAGCTATAAAAAAATATATAGTAAACTCAAAGTTGGTTATAAATT